CTTCCCATCCTCCCCCCCCCCCCCCCCCGCCGAGCAGGAGAGGACGAGAAAGGCAGGCTGGGCCAGAGAAGGGGCCCCGCCCGCCGGGCAGGAGAGGCTGAGAAAGAAGGCGGCGGCGGGGAGGAGAGGAGGAAAGCACCACGCCCTGCCCATGGCCCCTTCTCCTCCCAGCCAGGGTGCTCCTCCCAGCTGCTGGCCAGGCAGGAGAGGCCGAGAAAGGCAACAGCGGCTGGGCTGGAGAAGGACGAGAAAGGCGGCGGCGGCTGGGCCGGAGAAGGGCCCCCCAGAGGCCGAGAAAGAAGGCGGGGTGGAAAGCGCCCACCCTGCCCATGCTGCCTCCGCGTCCTCCTCCTGCAGCCGGGCAGAGCTTCTCCCAGCCCCGCTCCTCCCAGCTGCTGGCCAGGCGTTGGCGGCCACCCCTGTCTCCCCTCCTAATGGCCGGCTTGTGCTCTAGGCGAAGGCCTAGTTCGCCTAGCAGGCGAGCCGGCCCTGGTTGGTGAAAGAGAAGATAATTCCAGCACTACAATTATACATAATCAGTTACTTAAAAGTTTGCTCATTGGCTTGATTTGTATTTGAATGTGGTTTCAGATTGATCTGGGTGCATCTTGAACTTTTTTGTGCTTATAATCTTAATCCAAATCAGTAACTAAAAATCTAAATTCAGGCCATTTTTGAGTATTTTTGAGCTGTTCTTGGCTTAAAGAATTTCCACAAACAGAAAGGGAATCCCCCCCCCATTTTACCTTCATGCTGCCAACATTTTTTTTTAAAACCCTCATGCTGTTGCTGGGGGTTCCCTGTTACCAGGAGCAGCATTTTATGTTGCAGTGGGAGGGCAGGTAACAGAGTCATCCCCACAACCAGCCCCGTAGCCAGAATTCTTGATGGGGGGGGTGCTGGGGGCACTAATCGGGCTAATTTATTAATTAATGCAATTAACATATGTGCCACCCCAGCCACCCTGAGTCACATGATGCCAGCAGCCAGCATGGTTTTGTTTTTATACCTGCTGCCAATTCTTCGAAGTAGAGAAGCAGGAGAGAGAGGAGTCAAAAGGAGAAATCCACTGCATGGATGAGGGGGGAACCTGCAAGCTTCTTCCAGGGCAAAAAAGCATGCCTTCAAGTAGTAATCACTGAGAAGAAACATCAGGTCTAATAGAACTATTGCAGAACTCAGTAATCCCAGCAGAACCACAAGCCAATATACCAAGCCAAACAGAACCAAAATCAAACCAAAGAAACTGAAAGGGGGGGCATTTTTTGCAAGCGCAGCACAACCAGTTGCAATGTACAGAATGCCTGAGAAAACCAGTGCCACTGTGGTAGTGCAAGCTTAGAAGAACTGATGTAAAATCAATCACCTGTTCAGCATTAAAGCATGTAAAATTTGGTCCTCTTCAGGGTTTTTAAAAAGTTTTTAGGGATATGATTTTTATTAGAGAACTTAGCAGTTGACTAATCTGATGATTGCTGGAAATATCCGCTAGACTGCAAGCATTGGCTATAATAGAGACATTTCTCTCTTCTGAGATCAGAAACAAGAATAGATAGGCAGGCATAAATGTTGGCTTGGAAAATGCTCAGAGAGCTGTTGGGCTGCTTTAAACATAAAGAGATGTAACCTGTATAGGATGAAGCTGTATATATGCACCAACCCCAAAAGGCTTTGTGGTTTTTTCCCAAAATCTCTGTGGACAGCTATATAGTAATAATTTTCTAAAAAGAATACCCAGCAGGTTCAAGGTTTTACAATAGTATTGGGGAGGGAGGAAAGCATGGCAACATAGTTTCTGAATTAGCCAACTTGTGAAGCTAGGGGAAGATCTTGTATCATCCAAAGAGGCTTTTTATTGATCTGTCATTCTCTGATTAGGTATCTGTTCTCTCTTCCTTTTTGCTGATCACAGAGGCGCAGTCCGGTAAGAAGTTGCATGACTTTTCACATTGAATCAGTAGCAAAAGTGACTGGGAGTGATTGTGATCTACTTTAGCTTGGTTTGTGAACTATCAGTACAGCAAATATATGTAATTATTGTTCTCTCAAGGGGGATCCTGTATATATAAAATCCTAGTGTATTGGCCCTTTCTGGCTCTCCCATTGGCTGTGCTGTGTGCTCCATCAGCCATTGGCCCATCAACTGCCACTCAAGAGTACTCATGTGCCATTGGCTGGGTGCTGGGTCTGCTCCTTTCTCCTGCCCACTGCCAGCCTGGCCACTCTTCCCTGACAGAATAAAATGCCAAAATGGCTGTCTCTCCTGACAAAGATGCTTCTCCTAGTTGGCTTCTCTGTGGCTGGCTGGCTGGCTACTGAGGTGGGCCACCGGCCATCAAACCATTCTCTTCTCCTCCCTCAGTGGCTGTTGCTAGGCAACCAAGTTTGGTTCTGTCAGTAAAAAGGCAAAGGCAGGAGGCTCTTTCCAGGCCTACTTTGGTCTTTGTGGGGAAATCATTGGGGTCAGTCGTAGGGTTGCCAGCTCCAGGTTGGGAAATTTCTGGATATTTTGTGGTGGAGTCTACAGAAGCCAGAGTTTGGGGTGGAGAAAGGCCTCAGCTGAGTTGAGGGATAGAGCCTGGAGAGGGTGGGGTTTGAGGAGGGGTGGGATCTCAGCCACAGATCCAATGCCATAGACTCCACCCTCCAAACTAGCCAGTTCCTCTTGAGGAACCATTGTTGCCAATCTCCAGGGGAGGGCTGGTGATCACTCAGAATTACAACTGCAGAGATCAGTTCCCCGGGAGAAAACTGTGGACTCTGTGTCATTATACCCTGCTGAGGTCACCACAACAAATTGACGCTGAGTGCCCAAGGCTGGGGCAGCCACCCAGAGCCTTCTTCTAGAGCTCATTGTATTTATTTCCACAATGGGCCGTATTCCTACTTAACTATGGCTGCGGTCACACGCAACATTAGCCACGCGAGAGATACGGAAGACAGGCGGAGTTTCCGGGCGCGATCTCACCAGCACATCTGGGGAGCGTAGCGCTTCTGTGGCACAACCGAGGCTTCCTCCCGAACCCGCGCAACAAAAAACTAGTACCTTGGAGGTACTAGTTTCCGGAAACTGCGGGGCAAGGGCGGGCGTCTGATCGCGTTTCCGGTGGCATCCGGCGCCCGCCCATGTCCCCTTGTGAAAAAGGTTTTTTTTTTTTCCCAAGTCCCAGTGGTTGCGCACATGCACCCAACGGAGCATGCGCATTCGTAGTGAACACAAAAAAAGAAAACTAGTTCGCCGCGCCGCGCGCTTCTTCGTTGCACGCAGGCATGTGTTGTGATCGAAGCCTCTCCGTAACCACAGAAGCTCCACGGTACCTCCACAGAACCTCCACAGGAGGTATGATCGCTTTACTGCGTGTTAGTTTGCCCCAGGGCAAACAGCCACGCTTCCCCCACCCCCGCAGTTTCCTGCCCGTGTGACCGGGGCCTATAATTACAAAAATACTGATAGCATAGGAACAGAAGGAAACATATCGCTTATCAAGGTTTTAACCTAGTGTTTTATTTTCACTGTAGATCAGTGGTAGGCAGCATATATTTAGGCTACATGCTACTCTTGAAACTCTGTTTTCCCTCCATGTCAAAGGTTTGACTTGAGACATTTCACGTTTAGGTTTATAGTGCTAGAAGAGGGATACATATATTCCATACAACATATGCACTAGTTGTGGCTTGGTACTATCCACTATGGCCATACAATGTTTGAAATGAGCCTGAGCCTGTAGCTTACTCTTGGCTTTTGAGGGAAGATTTTGATGGGGCCTTATTTATTGTATTGGGTAACATCATACAGTCAGATAATATGCCTTGTATATCCTGTAGAATATATTTGGGTGGATTTCAGAATAACTGAGAGATCCTTGCCAAGGTTTCCAGTGACAGTTCCTTATCTGAAACAGTTTTCCATCGTCATGCTCTATGCAGTCTTCCACCTAGTATGTCATCTGTAATTCTGGACTATTTGATTATTGCTCTTCCTTGGGCTCCAGTTTTACTGCCTCCTATCTCCAGCATAGAAATGCATCTAAAAGAGCTGCTTTCATAGGGAGTCTTATTCAAAGCAAACAGTGTGTTGTGTGAGCAAGGTGGAAAAACTCTCACCTAGGCAATCCATGCATTCTGCAGCAGTGTGACATGGCTAAGTAGTAGTGTGCAATACTTACAATGGTGAAAGCTATATGAAGACCAGGAATGCAGTACCTTTCTGTTTTTGTCTGGTACTGTGATAAATATCTTTTGGAGACTTCCATAGAGTTATGTCTTAGTAAATACTTGTATTGTTTCCAACCGTCTTCCTCAAATTTTATGTGCTTTGCCATTTAAATTACTTTGCTTTATTGTTGCAATTGTCTAACTAGAATGTTTTTTTTAAAAAAGTTAATCAAATCCAGTGTTTATGTGTGAGACCATGTATGAGTCCATGACTTAGTTATGGAATTGTAAAAAAGAAAGTGTATGAATCAACAAAGAGAATGCACAAAGAAGCATGCCAAACAATATGAACTAAAATTAATGTACACTTTTAGCTTAGTGACATTAATGTCCATTTTCTGTCTTGCTAATCAAGCCAGTCTGTTTTATGTATCTGTTATAAATATACTTCTCTCATCCTGTTTTGTTTTTAATTTTAGGGTACAATTAAAAGGAATTTATCCAGTAAGTATATATACATACATACATATATATATATATATATTTTTAAAAACACCCTTATAGATATATAATATATATGTAAGATCTTAAAAGATGACACAGATTTGCTCTATAATTTTCAGACCCTAAAAGAATTGAAGCTACTAATTAAGAACACTGTTTCAAATAATACTATTAAATCTTGCATGAATTCACACAATGTAAAATTAGCAAATTCTCATTCTGAAAATGAGATGACACATTTTAAGTCAAAAGGCATGTGGCATGTTTCCTATTGACTGCATGTACAGACTGGTTCAACTCTCCCTAAAACTGTAAATCTTAGATATTGGAAATGATGGAAAGCATGGCTAAAATAGGGTTTTAAAATATGTTTTGCATAACAGCTTGTCCATTTGAAATTGAACTAATTTCATAATGTAGAATATGCTGTCTTCTCTATGTATACAGTCTTTATAAGGGAGCAAACAAAGATATATAATTCTTTCATTGAATCAGGATGTTACATGGTATAAAAGCTGATATATACAACAGGCTTAGAAGGGAGTGGGGGAGAAGTATGCTTTTTTCATAATCTACCTTTGCAAGATTGGATCTGCCAAGGCCCAGAAACAGTCAAGTGGCCATTTTGAAAAAGCAAGAACACAGAATGGGGATAGATTATGTATAAGCAACTCAGAGCAGATCTACACATTAACAATGGCACATGGAAGCATCTTGAAGCTGCCTTTGTGTGCAGCAGCTCTTGATATATAGAGCTACTCATTACATGAAAAGCTCCTAGCCTGTGAAGAGACACACCATTGACAGATACGTAAATGTTATGGAAAATCTTGGCACAAAAGGAGCATTGCACATGGGAAGCCATTCAGCATGTTAGGGCAGCATTATGAAAGAATTGTACACAGAGGCTGTTTCAGGCCATTTCTATATGTCATTAATAATATGTAGGCTGACCATCAGACTGGATTACAGGTTGGGACAGGTAAGACTGAGCTTTGGTTTGGACTGTTAGGCTGTTTTCCTAGCTGAACTTGTCTGGTATGATCCTTGATTTTCTGTTTCATGGCACATTGATTCTGTTCAGAAATCGCTACTAGTTGTTGCAGAACAATGGTTCAGTGGTCAAAATTGTGCTAAAAGTTAACACAGTCTCTCCTCCCCTCTTACACAAAGATCTTCATTTCCTTCCATCCTTGGTTTGCTCTAATGATAGCTTGAATCATATACAAGTCAGGCAATCTACAGTTAGAACTATCTGTTAATGGAAACTGGTATTTTAAGTGGGTTAACAAATCATGATTGAAGGCAACTCTGGCTATATTAACCATAGTTTGAATTTCACAACAACCTGTGGTTGGAGCACATCGGGAAAGACAAGAATCCATGCACTAGAGAAAGAGGGAGTGCATGAACCTTTGGGACAGTCACATTCTTGATTGCCAGTCAATGGCTTATCAGTCTATTGCCATATCATCTAAACTGGGTCGTTGTTACTTGTCCTCACAAAGCATGCTTTGGGCAGTTTAACTTCTTGGTAGTATTCATGTGTGTATAAATAAATAAACTCTCTAAAAAAATTAATCTCCTCTAAATTTCTCCTACTAACTGGACATGAAACAAATCCTGCAGCATACTAATCCTCCATTGAAGAGGGACTTTTTCTTTCCAGACCAGCCCTACCTTGTGCTAGTGAAATAAATTAGTGGCTTGAAGCTTTTATTTATTAGCTGTTATTTTTCTCCTTCCACCCAACAACTCTACATAGGAGAGAAAGGAGGTTTGATGGGGTCTTGTTCTCTTTTCCCCAGAGTGCTTTGATAGGGTCATCAAGGAAGAATGAACTAGCCTAGCTCAGTACAATACTACCATTGATTGCCTAGCAAGCTACTCATTCAGCAAGTAGACAAGATGGAGCAACCCAAGATGCTAGATATGCCAGTGGCAGCATATTCACCTTCTGATTACTACAGATGGTGAACAAGAACTGAAGAATGCTTGAAGCAGTCATGTTGATGTGGCCCTGAAAAGGACAGGGTTGCTAAGAGTCTCTGTCAAAAATATTATCTTTAAAAGGGCAAGAGAACCTCTGTCAAAAAACAGGGGACAACACACATGGAGACAGAAAAACTCAAGACACTTTATGAAGTCCAAGACACTTTATGAAGGTTTTAAGAATTCCTTTTTGGCAGCCCTCATAGCTGACTCATTCCTGGGTACTGTTCTGTTCACACGCAGAGCTATGACATTTGTTATCGCAAGATTTCATAGCTTAGAGGGAGCATTGCAAAGGGTTCTGATACTATAAAGACTGTCTGCTGTAAGACTCACTCTGAGGGATGCTGCTCTGTGAAATATCAAAGGATCTAGAATTCCCTCCTACCTTTTCTGAAAGAAAAGAGAATCTCTTAGCATGCATTCCTGTTCTGAGGAGACACAGGAAGGTACTCTACTTGCCACCAATGTATTGGGCAAAACTAACTTCTTGTGAACAGCAGGGTACATGTAGGTAGGCAGAGAACCCTGAGATTAGTTCTCTTCTATGTCTTCCCTGTTCTTGGATATTTTTCTTTGTTAATGTTTTATTATAGAAGTAGTGAATGTTCCTCCTCTTTCCAGTCCTGTCTGGAAAGGATGGGTCCTTTTTCAATGGAGGTGTCGTTTGCTACAAGCTGTGGCTGCTTCCTGTCCAATATGGACAGGAAGGTAGTTCTTGTAGAATGTTCTCCTGCCTCTCCAAGGATAGGAATTTATGGTAAGACATTCTCCTTTTCTCTGTAAATACTGAGTTGGGGAGGAAAGGCACTGAGTTGGCTGACATGCCATTACCTGTACAATTTTACTAGAATACCTTATGAGAAAAAAACTTAGACTTTATGTGCTATGTGCCAGGTGAGGAGATAGCAAGACCCAGACGTTCAACACCAACTCCAGAACTTCTAAGGTCAGTATAAAGCAAGTCATTGAAGCCATGGGGGCTGTGGGGGGTCCTTATACCTTAATAATACTACACACTTTCCTTTACCCTGCTTTATCAAGTCTATCCCATTATAAGGCTCATTGTACATTTGTTTACTTTTTAAAATTACTATACATTACTTTTCATCACTGATTTGTGAAGTCCTACCAATTATTTAGTGTACACAACTTTGTGTACAAATTGGCAGTTCCTTTTTTCAAGTCACAAAATTCCATAGCATATACAGTCTTAAATAAACCACAATTTGTCTAGCAATGGAGTGTGCTCTCTCCTTCCACCTTTTTCAGGTTGCCACTATATAATTGTGAATCAGTCTTTAACCATGTGTTTGTTCCAAATGTACTGAGAATTATAAACTCTGATACTGCCAGGAAAAAATGGATAGGTTAAAAAGGCTGTGGATGGAGTGTATGTTTAATACATGATTCTATCAGTGGTACTGTTTCTTACAATACTGTTGATACAATTTAGCTTTCTACTCCATACAGAAGGTTTTTACAGCCCTCTAGTTTTGGACTATGGTATAGTGTGCCTGGGAGGAAGATATTCATGTTCCTACAAACAGGCTTTGGGGCATCTGTAGTCAGCAGAAGATACTGTGTTTTAGTTGCTGGTATTATACATTGTTTGCAGCCGTAAGAAAAGATTTTTGCATGGAATTATAGGTGGGTGTGTTGACAAAAATTATTTTGATGAAAATGTTACCCTTTCTTATCTTGAGACCAGCCTGCAATTAAGAAAACAGCTTTGCAACTCAAAAGGTCCAATATAAATTTGAGTAGCAAAACGCAGTAGAATTGCCACAGAAATCACATTTTGATGCCATATTCTGTATCTTCTGTTGTAATGAACTTTGGTTTTAACTCTTTAAAATGCATTATCCAGAAACACAGTTCTACAAAGAAGTCATTTCCAGAACTTCATGTTTTAATTTGTACCAGTTGCTCACCAGGAATCAATCTCAATAGCAGTTTCATTGCCAAAATACAGCTATGAAAAAACACGAAGATGAAAGGGCCTCTGAGCAGGTTGAACATGTCAGGGCATTAAATGAAAGGACCTCCATATCAGAGGGTGGTAGTCCCAGGCAGATTTGCTGCCACACCTGTCTAGAAATTAAATTCTGCAAAGTCTGCAGATCGTTGGATGCATACCACTAGAAGTATTTGTAAATTTAAAAGAATGCTGCAAGAAAAATAGCTGTAATTAATGACAATGAGTCCAGTATAATTAAGTGTTCAGAGTATTCTGGGCTGCTTTTTTCCCAGGCCAAGCTGATGTACATTGTGACAGAGTACAATGTCACAATTTACATTTGCAGATTTGACAAAGACAAATGTGTAATCAGTGTGTAATACAGATTTGTTCTGGGATCACCAGTCAACAGTGGTTCCTGAATCCTGCAAAATCAAATCTTTGTCACCTCTGCTCAAATAGTTATCCTTCAATATCTATGTTGTACTACAGCAAAAAAGCCCCTGAAGACCCTGCAGTCTTAGCACCATTGTTTGGCCCACCACTAGAGTCTGCATTTGAGGAGCAGAAGTTGGAAGGTAGGTGGGAAATCCAGTGTTGCTGACTGTGCTGTGATTGGTTTGGTAATTTCATATATGTAGCGTTCTCTGTGTCAGTCAAGTAATAACTGAAGAAATGTCTTTGTTAATTTGCTTTACATCATTTTTTTAACACGTTGTCTACTGTCATCCTGTGGCATGGGGTGGATTATGAACAAAATAAACTGGTAAAATAAATGCAAAACAGATGACTTATATATCTGAGAGAACATGTCAGTCTGAGTACCCATAAATGCATACTTTGAATGGTGAGCCTGGTATGGATATGCAATCGCATCTTTTTAGATAGTGAATAGGAAATTCACTCTGGAAGAACTCCTTCCTGTATCCAGCACATCTGAAGGTTTTTGGAGGGAAAAAAGGAGTTAAGTAAAAAAAAAAAAAGAATGGGCTTTTTTTTCTTTTAAAAGGGGAGAGCACAGAATAAATGGTTAAATTGACAATTATACTGGAAGCCTAAAAGAAAGTTTTTTAAAGTCAAAACTATGCAGAGTGGGTAGGAAAATTCATGGTGAAGTTTTGGATACATGTGGTGTTAATAGACCAAGGGTAGAGAGATGCAAAGGTACCAGAGCTGGAGAACCACACACCCACTTTAAGAGGGAGATATGTCCGGTTCAGCCTAAATCTGTCTGAGCATATTTTGATACAAGAAAAAATGGGAAAGAAAATGCTTAACAACAGCAAGGTATAACTCCCCAAACTGAAAACATCTGAAGTCTGTGGGGGATGTTTGCTGTTTTCCCTCTGTAGCAGCTAGTAACAACTGCCTTATCTTGTTTCTAGACTTGTTATGAAATAAACAACGATCCCCTATGATCCTCTTTTTGTCCCATACAACAAATACTTTCTAACCTTTTCTTAACCATTTCTGCTCTAAGTTGAGAACATGGGTGGTTGCTGAATTCCTATTACTTATAGCCCAGAAAAAACCTGGAATCAGGCCCAGACAAGGTGATAATTATTTATTTATTTATTTATTTATTTATTTATTTGCATTTTTACCCCGCCCTCCCCGCGAACGGGCTCAGGGCGGCTTACACAGGGGGAAAAGCCCATACATAAAACAATATAAAACAGTAAAAACCATTAAATCACAACAAACAGATAAAGTGCTCCATACAGACAAGAATAATATGGCACAATACAACTTTTGTTGGATGTACTTATTCATTAGTATGAATAGGCAAATATATGCGAAAGAGAACTGTAGATATCAGAGATGCAGCATTGAATCAAGAAAGGACGTGTGCCAGTCTGGGTATCCATCTCAAGATTTCTTTTATTTATATGAGCTTTATTATTATTGACTTTTTTTTCAACTCGAATCTCATTATCAGAAAAAAGTACATACCCTATAATGGATGCATAGCAATGCAAATGTCTCTTTCATCTTAGTTGCTTTCCTTAAAAAGCCATTGCTGTCTCTGTGCATGTCTGCAGAGAGAGAAAGATATATGCAATGGCAGCATTCCCCATTATAGAAAAAAATCTGTGTCTTAAAAATGTACATGTCAAGTAAACTTTACAGATCAGGGTTCAATTCAATTGATGCTGTAAAAGAGAAGCTATAGTTGGAATCAAGTCCTTATGTTACTTCTAGATTTGTATGTATCATGCATATATATGTGGCTTCAGCTCCCATAGATCAACCTGAGGTATGGGGTTCGGTACAACCAGCAAATTCAAGTGTAGAATCTCCAAATCCACCACGACCTTTTCCTGATGGAAGTAAGTTTAAATATCTTCTATTTGAAAAATTATTTCCTTTTTTTATTATTCTGTAACTGAAATATTAGATAGATTTAAGTAGCACAGTTGAGGGTTTTGCACTGTCATGGAAACCAAGAGATATTGGTTGAATTATGCATTGGAAACCCAGCTTTCAATACTGGATGAAGAGACTGCTCTCAGTCCCTGGGGAGAATAGCGTCTGTTTGTGATCTCAGCTTGCAATGTTAAACTTGACTCCCTATCGGAAAAATAATCTCCTAGCAACTGCAGCAGCATGCCATAAATACAATAGCTCCCTAATTACTACTACAAATTTGATTCATGGAAAACCGGAATAAAAGTGTCAACATAATTTTAAAACATTTCTAATAGCCCATATGCTCTGGAGTCTGAAGACAAAAATTGTCATCTCTTGAAAAGTACAGCACCACCGAGTCCGACTACATATTTGGGATTAGGTCATCTTCACATTTTAATAAATGAATTAACAAAACCCACACAACATTTGTTTTTGTTGTTCAGTCGCACAGTCGAGTCCGACTCTTCGCGACCCCATGGACCAGCTCCCGCCAGGCCCTCCTGTCTTCTGCTGTCCTCTGAAGTTCACTCAATTTCATGTTCGTTGCATCTATGACACTGTCTAACCATCTCATCCTTTGCCGTCTTCTTTGACCTTCAATCTTTCCCAGCATCAGGGTCTTCTCCAGTGAGTGCTCCCTTCTCATTTGGTGGCCAAAGTATTTGAGCTTCAGTTTCATTATCTGGCCTTCCAGGGAACAGTCAGGGTTGATTTCTTTGAGGATTGACTGATTTGTTCTTCTTGCAGTCCAAGGGACTCTCAAGAGTCTCCTCCAGCACCATAGTTCAAAAGAATCTATTCTTCGGCGCTCGGCCTTCCTTATAGTCCAACTCTCACAGCCATACATGACTACTGGGAATACCATTGCTTTGACCATGCGGACTTTTGTTGGCAGGGTGATGTCTCTACTTTTTATCATGCTGTTTAGGTTCGCCATCACTTTCCTCCCAAGGAAATCTTTTAATTTCATGGCTGCTGTCACAGTCTGCGGTGATCTGGGATCCCAGGAACGTGAAGTCTGTCACTACTTCCACGACTTCCCCTTCTATTTGCCAAGGAGTGATGGGGCCGGATGCCATGATCTTAGTTTTTTTGATGTTGAGCTTCAAGCCCACTTTTGCGCTCTCCTCTTTTACCCTGAGCAAGAGGCTCTTTAGGTCCTCTTCACTTTCTGCCATTAGAGTGGTATCGTCTGCATATCTGAGGTTGTTGATCTTTTCCCCAGCAATCTTAATTCCCGCTTGTGATTCATCCAGGCCAGCATTTCGCATGATGTACTCTGCATATATATTAAATAAGCAAGGCGACAATATACATCCTTGTCGTACTCCTTTTCCTATGCTAAACCAATCAGTTGTTCCATATCCGGTTCTAACTGTCGCTTCTTGGCCCTTATACAGGTTTCTCAAGAGACATGTGAGGTGGTCTGGTACTCCCATCTCTTTAAGGACCTGCCATAGTTTGTTGTGATCCACACAGTCAAAAGCTTTAGCATAGTCAATGAAGCAGAAGTAGATATTTTTCTGGTACTCTCTTGCTTTCTCCATAATCCAGCGAATGTTGGCAATTTGATCTCTAGTTCCTCTACCTCTTCGAAACCCAGCTTGTACTTCTGGTAGTTCTCTATCCACGTACTGTTGAAGCCTAGCTTGTAGGATCTTGAGCATGACCTTGCTAGCGTGTGATATGAGTGCAATTGTGCGATAGTTTGAACATTCCTTGGCATTGCCCTTCTTTGGGATTGGAATGTATACTGATCTTTTCCAATCCTGTGGCCACTGTTGCGTTTTCCAAATTTGCTGGCAAATGGAGTGCAGAACTTTAACAGCATCATCTTCTAAGACTTTGAATAGCTCAGCTGGAATACCATCACCTCCACTAGCTTTGTTGTTAGTAATGCTTTCTAAGGCCCATTTAACTTCACATTCCAGGATGTCTGGCTCGAGGTCAGTGATTATACCGTCGTGGTTGTCAAGGACATCGAGGTCTTTCTTGTATAGTTCTTCTGTGTATTCTTGCCATCTTTTCCTAATCTCTTCTGCTTCTGTTAGGTCCCTACCGTTTTTGTCCTTTATCATGGCCAGCTTTGCATGGAACGCTCCCTTGATTTCTCCAATTTTCTTGAAGAGATCTCTAGTCCTTCCCATTCTATTGTTTTCTTCTATTACTTTGCACTGTTCATTCAGGAAGGCCTCCTTATCTCTCCTTGCTGTTCTCTGGAAATCTGCGTTCAGTTGGGTAAATCTTTCCTTTTCGCCTTTGCCTTTCGCTTTCCTTCTTTCCTCTGCTATTTGTAAAGCCTCATCAGAAAGCCACTTTGCTTTCTTACATTTCTTTTTCTTTGGGATGGTGGTGATTGCTGCCTCCTGTACAATGTCACGAACCTCCGTCCATAGTTCTTCAGGCACTCTATCTATCAAATCCAGACCCTTGAATCTATTCTTCACCTCTACTGTATATTCATCAGGGATGCGATCTAGGTCAAACCTGAATGGCCTAGTGGTTCCAAGGCCAAACGTGTCTGTTATTCTGGTTACCTTTTGACTTCCTACTTTAGCATTCCAGTCCCCTATGATGATGAGGACATCATTTTTTGGTGTTAGTTCTAGGAGGTGTTGTAGGTCTTCTGCATCAGTGGTTGGGGCATAGACTTGAATTACTGTGATGTTGAATGGTTTGCCTTGGAATCGGATCGAAATCATTCTGTCATTTTTGAGATTGTATCCCAGTACTGACTTTTGCACTCTCTTGTTGACTATAAAGGCCACACCATTTTTTCTACGAGATTCCTGGCCACAGTAGTAGATATAATGGTCTTCTGAGTTAAATTCGCCCATTCCTGTCCACTTTAGTTCACTGATTCCTAAGATATCAATGTTCAGTCTTGCCATCTCATTTTTGACCACGTCAAGCTTACCTTGATTCATAGTTCTTACATTCCAGGTTCCTATGCAGTATTGTTCTTTGCAGCATTGGACTTTCCTTTCACCATCAGACACATCCACAACTGAGCGTCCTTTCGGCTTTGGCCCAGCTGCTTCACCCTTTCCGGCGTTACTTGTACTTGCCCTCTGCTCTTCCCCAGTAGCATATTGGACACCTTCTGACCTGAAGGGCAACATTTGTACCTGACCCTTTTTTCTTGTGGACCTAATTGCAGCTTTCAGGTGGGGGGGATTTGAGATAACGGCACAGATAGAAAGTTAAATACCTTTGACTCCCCACAGCCATCTCTGATCTTCAATGCAGCTGTGTCGAGCTGCTAATTACTTTTTAAAAGTGCTCAGAATTCTAATAAAAACGGAAAGGGGGGGAGGAAACTCAACCCAAAATAAGCTGTGAACTAAGAGGGTCAAGCTAACAACTAGATTATATTAAAAATACAAATTTTATTAAGGTGTACACATAGCTAAAACATACTGCGGTTAAAAGAAATAGTCTAAGTCTCAAACTTAAAAGGCTTATACAACCAAGTTAGTTATTATACAAATACAATTGAAGGGTAAAACTTTCTGACCTAAGTACCATACGTGTTTCGGCCCCTTCAGGCCTTCCTCAGTGGTCAATATTTTTTATATTGCAATGACACACATCCAGAAATACATGCATAATTTTTGGGGGGTGTGTGTGTATAACCAGATGTTATTTTCTTATGTGCTTTTGCAATTGCTACAAGTTTGTATAATAGGCCATAGATAGTAGTAGTGGTCCACTACTTTTGATGGAAGTGACACACAACCTGACAAATGGAATCTTTGACACCAGGATAATTTGAAGAATTGATACGGCTACTATCTATGGCCTATTATACAAACTTGTAGCAATTGCAAAAGCACATAAGAAAACAACATCTGGTCGTATATATATATATATATATATATATATTATATATTTAAAAAAGTGAAAACAACAGAAAATGTAGTGATTCCTATCCTTAGATTCCAACACTCCAACATATCCTACCATGGGGTGTCATGGAAATATCAAAAGATTTTCAAAACAATTTTAATTCACTTAAAAAATAATCCATACAGCACTGTACAATCCTTTTTTTGTTGTTGTTCAAAAAGGTTTTTCCTAACTGAATTGAAAGAGTGAGCAGTGACTCACAACAGCTCATAAGGTAAAGGTTCCCCTTGCTCAAAAGGTAGTCAAATCTGACTCTAGGGGGTGGTGCTTATCTCCGTTTCAAAGCCGAAGAGCCAGCGCTATCCAAAGACATTTCCATGGTCATGTGGCCGGCGTGACTAAATGCCAAGGTACACGGAACACCGAAGTGGTACCTATTTATCTACTTGCAATTTCTTGCTTTCGAACTGCTGGGTTGGCAGGAGCTGGGGCCAGAGATGGGAGCTCACTCCGTCATGCAGCACTAGGGTCTTGAACTGCCAAACTACAGACTTTCTGGTTTGCAGCTCAGTGTTTTGACCTCTTAGCCACTGCATCCCTGTACAACAGCTCATACCTGGCCACAAATGTGGTTAGTCTTTAAGGTGCTTAGGAATGCCAGCCTCCAGGTAAGGCCTGGAGATCTTCTACTTTTACAACTGATCTCCAGCTGACAGATATCAGCTCCCCTGGAGAAAATGGCTGCTTTGAAGGGTGGACTCTTCCCTGATGTGAAGAACTGTATTTATGTAGTACTTAGTTTTTATGGAGACATAGTTTAAATTGCTCTCTTGATATGACTGACTTATAGATTACTTGAAGACCTTCTCCCAACTTTTAATTAAGATATTTGCATCTCTCTTCACAGCACCTCCACCACTTCCTCCTAAAAATGTTCCAGCTACACCTCCCCGCACTGGTTCTCCTTTAACAGTTGGAGTAGGTAAGAATGTCTGAGACAAATGGCTACTTGTTCTGCAGACCACAATATGCTCAATATGAGTTCTGAACTTTTAATGCTAACTAAATGTAAACTCTACACAATGAAATCCATTTTATACATACCTAACATCCATGAATTTAATATTTCCACCCATATTAGAAGATGTTGTTTTGCTAAAAAGTCTAATACAGAATCTTTTTTCCACAGCCCATGAGATTCTGAAATTATTTTTTACTATCATATGATGTTCAAAAATTGCACAGGTTTACCACAGAAATAGGATTATCATGGTAAAGTTTTGTATCCATTGATTTATCAATAGTTTTGTTAACTCCCAGCTGTGATGCACTCAGCTTTATTTAAGGAACTTGGGAAGCTTTAGTTAGCCACCGTTCTTCATACACTGAGGGATCTTGCTGATAACTGGCAGGAGCCCTAGTTAGCAGAATAAGAGAGATCTTTACCTTGAAATTAGGAGTATAATGACTGTAGTGAGGTAATATAATACCAGAATCTTTATTGAATAAAAGGATATTGTGGCATATAGAAAGAGGAAATAAGGTGCTTGTATAGGTAAATAATTCATGTCACAAGTGAATATGCTCAGTTGTGTAAGGGCTGAGAGTGAACTTGCTTTGAACAGAATTTATATGTATGGCCTGCATGTTCAACTAGGGAAAAGCAAACTAACTTTTGAAAAGATAAGCATGATAAGAACACAATGCATAATACTTGGTGTTTTAACTATTTCCCTACCAATATATACATTTTCAGCTAAAACCTTTGTGCTTTATTAATCAGAATTTTATTTATATACACACTGCCACTTACCCCAGTTATGTATACTGTTTGGCAGGTGTTACATTTGCCTTCAAAATTAATTAAGTATTAAATTAAATATGTATCCATATGTGGTGTTTTATTTCCTAGGATGATTTTACAAACACACATACATAATACATATATTTGTAAAATATAGATTTCTCTGTGACAGGTTATGAAATGTCATGTTCTCTAACTTGGAGCACACTGAACTTACAGATAAAGGTTCAAGATACAAATTTTCAAAACTATAGCACTTCCATTTCCTTGTGTGTGCACAGATTGGGTTCCCAAGAGATACCCGCCCCATTTATTCCACTGTCCAGACACCTTACAACTACAGATGATAAGATTAACCCAACTCTGTCCTGTTTAATATTTGATCCCTCACTACTTCTTGGATTTCCAATTGACTCCCAGCAGAGTATGCAAATTTGGTAGAGATAGAACCCCAGGGATAAAGCAAGAACAGTCCTCTCCTTATTGACCCTCTCCCCATTTTTCTGTAGAGCTTTCTCCCAGTATAACCAAACACTGAGGGGGGACATGTGCCATGGGCATACACTTTGACATTCAGACCACCTCCGAAGCCTGTGTTCAGGGAGTTTGGTAAGGTTCTCCGGTGCCTGGGAACTATGAATAGTAGGGAGGGATGATTTTAAAATGCACATTGATGTGATTCAGGGATCTGCAGAAAAATCATACCAAAAGTTTTTAGCAGATGCTCAAACATGTGCCTGATCATTCTCTGTTGTGATATTAAGTAATGTCACACTAAATTATCTATCTGCACTCTGATACTGAGTAACTTCAGTCTAAGCCTATTAACTTCAAAGGGCTTTGATTACAGTAACTCTTTATATGATTGCATACATCTGAATTCTTCATTATGGTGTGTATGTGTGTACACATACACACACATCTAAATATAAAAACTGGAGGGGGGGTCCAAAACACCATCAGAGTGCTCATTCATGGTCCTATTTGTAATGTTCAATCTGATATGCAGCCCAGTAGGTAGACTTACCCACATTTGATCACAAGATATCAACTAATAGAATGCCACAATAATCCCTGATTACAAGTTGTCTTTTTTATGGTCATGGAATGAGGAACTGGTTACAATATGGAGGAAAATGTATACTAGCTACCATATCATCACATATTTCTTGTTCTGTGTGTGTTGCCACCTTCTGAAGTAAGATGAGTGGCAACCAGACAGAAAGTCTTCTGACAGAGAGCCAGTTTGGTGTAGTGGTTAAGTGCGCGGACTCCAATCTGGGAGAACCGGGTTTGATTCCCCACTCCTCCACTTGCACCTGACTGGATGACCTTGGGCAAGCCATAGTTCTGATAAGAGCTGTTCTCGAAAAAGAGCAGTTTCTGTCAAGAGCTCTGTCAGCCCCACCTACTTCACAGGGTATCTGTTGTGGGGAGGGGAAGGGAAAGGAGTTTGTAAGCCGCTCTGAGACTCCTTTGGGTAGTGAAGGGCGAAGTATAAATCCAATCTCTTCTTCTTCTCTAGTGCCTCAACTGTTGAATAACTTTCTGACAGGGTTCACCTGGTATCTAGTCTGCTGTTTTAGGTGCTTGGTGAAGTTGTTTTAATTGGCCCAGGTATTCATCTAATTTAGGTGCCTCACTTTCTATGTGTGTGTTTTTAAGCCTTACATTCTATTTGAACCTTTTTATTATGGGTTTTTTTTGTTTTTTTATCATTGCTACTTCAGATTTTAGATTGTTAACTTGATTTTATTGGTTTCAAAATTGTTTATGCTTTTAACTTGACCTTTATAAGCTGCTTTGAGCATTTTCTGCAGAATGCAGCAAATAAATAGCCTAAACAAGTTAATATAATTCTCCAGTGTTACACAAGTTGTGTAACAAAATAAAATTAATAGTTTAAGGGTGACAGATTCACAAGCTGATAGTAAACATGTTAAGCATGATCCAGAGGTCGGTACATGCAGAAGATTCCCACGTCTGTGAACATACAACCATTCCCCACTATACATGCTTACCCAGAACTACAGAACTGTGACCATCAGAAGCAATCCAGAAAAAGTTAGACTTAAACCCTCTTCATTTTCTTTGGCTAGTCAACACCCAGTCATTGGAAATAGCTCATACACAGCATATTTGAGCATTTCTTCATGTTAGGCTGGAATGGGAAGCCACTGCACAGGGATTCTGGATCATTGCGCCAAAATGCAAAGTAATCATGTCTTTTAACCTTGATATAAGTATAGTTTTTTTTAGCAAGAGACACAAATGGAAAAGTATAAATTCTGTTTCTGATGCCTAACTGTAGCTGTGTTCAATGAACTTTGTTTTTCTGTTCAATACAAAAGTATGCTAACTCCCAATAATAGTTAGTAATGATCAACTTAAGAATGTATTACATTAAAATAGCACCACAGGGTATTGTGCTAAGCACAAATATGTATGATGTATTTATATTTTCAGCATATTTGCATGCAAGTCATCCTGTTTCAATTTCAGGAAGTTTGAAATTCTTGCTTGTAATATTTACTAAGAACTCACCAGGCTGATTGAGCTGCCCATGTTGCTTCCTAGATGATGATATATTTCATTTCAGTATAGATACATGAAACAAAACATGTAGGCAGAATCTGCATAATATTTATTGAAATATGTATTTAATACAATCTTGTTATACAGATATATGTGCACATGAATTATATTCCTGAGAGCACCTTATAATGTTAAGTATCTGTGCTAGGTTAAAGCTGATTTTAAAAGCCCCATACATAAGTAGAACGTTAGTACGACTTAGCTGTACAAGTTGATGTTAAAAGTTTAAAATCAACTACTTTGACCACAGGAAATGACCAGACAGCAACAGAGGTCAAAAGTGACAAACTACCATCAATCAATGACTTGGACAGCATTTTTGGCCCAGTATTATCCCCCAAGTCTGTTGCTCCTAACGTGGATGATAAGGATAAATGGATCAGTTTTTCTGATCCATCCCCGGAAAACGTAACTCCAGAGGTGACTTCAAGGGAAAAAGTGGTGTCCCCACCAGTGGCATCAGAAACTCCAGATGAGCCTCCAGAGGCCGAAACCTCTCACAGTGTTCCATCTCCACTCAATTTAGAAGAGGTTCAGAAGAAAGTTTCTGAGCAGACCCACGTTAAAGATGATAACTTAGCATCAGCAGCATCTCCTAAAGATTTTGGGGTGGGACAGAGAGCAACACCACCTCCCCCTCCACCACCTACCTACAGAACAGTGGTGTCATCACCTGGACCCAGCTCTGGCGGTGGCACAGGAAGCACCAGTGGTATGTTTAAACAGCTTTGAGTGTGCTTCAGTGTGGCCTTGAATGCTGCCATGTGAACACAAAACCTCTTTAGCTACTCTTAGTTGGTTGGCTTTTAAACATCAATCATTCCCTTTGTTTGATTGTACTGTGCCCAGTGGCTTTTTTATTCAGTGCTCTTGTGGTCCAACTTAACCTTGACCCCTGATAATGTGTTCTTCCTTCCCTGCCATTGCTGAATGTCTAATGTATTATGGGGGGAGCTTTATTTCCTTCATACCACATAGGTAGAAAAGCTGTCTGTTGCTTCAAATGAGGATTTCTCTAATGCAAAGAAGGGGGGAGGGGTTGTTGCAGGATGATCTCTGTTCCTCTCTCTTCACTCCCATAGTGATGTTACCTGACAATGGGCTGAAAGGTTATAGTGATCATTCTCTCCCCACCCATGCTTCAGGCAGACTGTCTGCTTTGGTTTAGTTTTGTTTCTTCACCTTCAAGTACCTGCATGTTTATCTACTCAAAGGTCTGTTCACTGATTTTTTTCCCCATGTATTTTTCTTTGAACACTGCTTGAGGGAGGAGGGAAGTATCTCTATGACTGACACTAGGGTCAGCCAATCAGCACTATGCACAGCCTAGTTTGAGAAGGGAAGGAAATTGCTTGATCTGACCCAAATTAGTACTGTGTAAATCCAGTATCTACTCCAAATCAAAACAAAAGCTCCCTCTGAGACCAACCCGGGAAACAAAATAGTACATATGTTAGATATCTGGTTGGGATGCCATGAACTTCACAGCAAAGATGTATGATGTCTTAAACATGCTGTGTTTGACACAATGAGTCTGTGAGCTGATATGGTCAAAGCTCGCACAACAGCTTGAGCAGCCACCGTGTTACATGACTTATCATTGTGATGAAGAGCAGTGGCCTTTTATTGAGGTAACTTCAGATAAATAGCTTTTTTCTTAATATTTTATTTTGAAATATAAAATAGAATTGTGCATCTCATTAGTTAAGGTTTATGAGTATTGGTTCCAGCTAAATTGGTTTGGACACATTATCCATATTTCCCTTAGTCTATACTCATATATTTTCTGTATTTTAAATAGTTCAGGTCAAAAGGAATGAAATGGTTTAACAGTAACATTGCAGCAATACCTGTCCACTGACAATTCTGAATCAAAGAACTGCTAGGCTAACTGCACATTCTCTTCTGTACCTGGCATTCTCACAGAGCAATTGAGGCAAGAGAGCTAAAATCAGTCACATCTTTAGCAGATCCCACGTGGGGAATCTTTTAATAGAGAGTAGTTACAGTGATTCTGCTCTGCACTCATTCCCAGTAACTTAGAAACCTCTCACAATTTTCATTGGGAAATTTTCACAGATAACACTCTTCTAAGTTTGGTGCATAGGCAATTTATGTGATTTAGGTGAGGCTCTCTTCATACAGCAGTCTCATGTGACCTTGCTACAGCACACAGAAAATGTAGATTCCTGTTACTGAGATGGAACAAAGCTTCAGGAGAAAGTAAGGCCACCTGGAATAATGAGCAACTCTACTGAGTATTAGTAGAACTCATAGAGTGGATGTTTCTTAATGACTGGAGAGAGAGGAATGATATTAGGAATAAAAACGTTTTGTTTCTCAGTTGTCTTCAAAGCTAATGAATACTTAGTTGTTTCAGAGTAGTGCCTTTTCTTTGGGAACAAATTCAAGATTTAAAAAAATGGATAGACATTAATTTTAAGTGTGTTTGTTTAGGTAGATTAACACCATAAGGTTGCAGTCACACACTCTAAATAATCTACTTTCAATGTACTTTCCAACTGGATTTTGCTGTGTGAACTGTGTGTTACTGCAGCCTAAGAATAGCAATTTGGAGTTCAGTTGGTGGTTTAAGTGGAAGATCATAGTGAGCCAACTACTAGTGGAATAATTCCAGTGTACTGAAAGTGAAACAAAGATTTCAGAATACAACTTCCCACTGAGCCCACTGCCTTCTGCTCCAGGGAGTCAAGGGACCCTCAAACAGTGGGGGGATGCAGTAGGTCAGGGAAATTCCCTTACCTATAACAACGGAAGTGCCTTTGCACTGGTGGAAGACATCTTTCAATCCATTCCAGGGTTTTTAAGAAACAATAGTAATTTCTACCCTATTTCACATGGTATTTTAAAATCCAGCATTAATTAAATATTCTATAAATTTTGTTTCATGACAGTTTGGAGCCTACCCTAGTTATATTCACCAGAGGCAGGGATTTTTCATGGGGGCACCTCACCTTTGGAATGCCTTTCCAACTGAGGTTCACATGGCTCATACCTTACTCTTCTTTCAGTGACAGACCAAAACATTTCTTTTTAACTACAAAATTTAATTCTTTTAGAACTGTTTTTATCATTGGCTCTATGTTGAAGTCTTTTATTAAATATCATTTTAGGCAGCAGTTTTATGCTGTTTTAATGCCTTGGTTTCTATTTAATGAGCTCTTTCATGGTTTGTTTATTATTGATAATTGCAACGCTGTTTGTGTGGTTCTATTGTATGGTTTTATTTTGTGAGATGTACTGAGGAGGTCTCTGGACCAGCAGCAAATGCATTTTTAAATAAATAAATACTGCTCTGCTGGGGCCCCTAATATATTGTTTTATCACAATCACAAATCTGATGGATGTGTTCTTGCACAATTCCCTTTCATTTGGGTGGAGTTTCAAAGCCCAGTCTTCTAGTGTGTTGTGTCCTCTATGCTGCCATAATTTTTAAAATTTTCAAATTTTATCAGTAATAGTGTCTTGTATCTAACCATCTATGCATGGAAGGCCCACAGAGTTTTCCCACATTCTTCTCTGTTCCAGCAGCCCTTTCTAATAGATCATTCTCAGAGTTGATGGACCCCATGGAAGAACGGATGTACAGGTGGGGGGGCTGGAGTGAGAAGGGACAAGGAGGTGAAGTCACCCTCTCTCCTCAATGTAGCCATGCTTGAAGGAGAAGGAAGAACAATTTCACCCCCCTGTCCCTTCTCATTCCAGTCCCTCCCAACCAGCATGGGTAGTCCTCTATGCAGGTCCCCCAGCCCTGGGAATGATCTTTCTGGGGGTCAGAAGGGGCTGCAGGAATGGCAAGGTTAAATACAGGCCAGTTTTCCAGTTCCTCAAAATCCAGATTTCCAGAGTTTCCAAGAACTTTATAATCATCAATAGAGCACCCTCAACATGATTCAGTGATCTGAAATTAATAATTTTGTAGAGCTTTTGTAGAATTGGTTTTTAATAATGCGCTAAGTAACAAAACAATAGTTTGGAATGTGTAGCATTTTCATGTGTAAGAAATGGTTTAAACTGTTGTCACCAGAGGTCATTTCGGTGGGGGGACGCAGTTCCCCCGGGTGAGGTGCAGGGGGCGGGTCACATGACGAAGCCCCGCCCCCTGCTTCCGGCCACCCTGCTTCCAGCCCTCATTCAGCCAGGAGGAGGCAGGAGGAGGGTAAATTGCTTCCTCCCCTCTTCTCCCCACCCCTGCCTGCCTGGGGCCAGGGAGGGCCTTGGTGGGGCTTCCTTGCACTCCCGCTGGCCTTGCAGGTCCACCGCTGGGCCCCTGATGTCAGGGGGTGTGGCATATGCTAATGAGTTATGCTAATGAGTTCCCCTAGCTCTTTTTCTACGAAATGACTCCTGGTTGTCACTTTTCTAAAAACATCTGGGGAAAGAAGTATTTAGCATATGCTTAGTAAAGTATTCTTCAAGGTTCATATACTTCATCCCCTGATGGCTGTGTGATGGGATTATGTGATAGGATGGGATTATGTGGGTAGATCCAACCATCCTCCAAAGATCCTTCCTCCAGCCTGAGGAAACCTCCTTCAATTTAGGTGGTTCTTCCTTCAATGAAAGAGCCACTTAAATTAGAGGAAAGCTTTTTAAGTTGTCCAAAGGCTTCAAACTTTACTCAGTGGTGTGGTAGAATAGGTGAACAAGGTTATAATGCTGATCTGATAAACCTTGTTCAGTGTTGAAGCACTAAGGTCAATAGCCATGGAAAATACGAAGAATTTTTTTTTGTTGTATAAGGAATATCCCTTTCTTTTCTTGTTTAAAATACAACACAAGTCAATTACTTTCCAGAAACTGTTCTTTTGACCTTGTGCAAGAGTGAGGCAAACTAAAAACATTATACATTGGAATATAAAAGTGCAAATATTGTTAGAAATAAAAGAAAAATGTTTTAGAACCCCTTTTGATATTATCTTTAGCAGCACGTAGTTCCTTCCTTTGGCCTTCTGGAATGCTGGAAGTTTATAGTCAAGTGGGAAGAATCCTTGCCATGAGTCCTTCTCATTCTGTAGTCCTTCCAGTTTCCATAGGGGCAATGCTAGAATGTAACAAAGATATGGCATGGACTTCTCTTGTGTGACAGTGGAGTTCTGAAAATTTTGAGAAGTACAGGAAAGAGCTACACTGATACCACAGAAGGTAATCTCAAAGTTTTTAAAACGATAATCCTGTTCCATTCTGCCTCCAATGATAGGCAAAAGCCTGAAATGATCCAAACTGGGGTAGAATTGTTCAGTGTAAGGAACACTGTACTGAATTTAAGTACTGAATCAGGTTCAAGGTTATGGTATTAACCTTTAAAGCCCTATGTGGTCTGGGGCCATCATATCTGCAGGTCTGACTCTCCCCATATGTTCCCCAGAGAGCCTTGTGCTCCTCGAAACAGTGTCATCTGGTGGTCCCTGGCCTCAAAGACATCCACTCAGCCTCGGCCAGGGCTTTTTCAGCTCTGGCCCCGGCCTGGTAGAATGCTCTTTCAGGTGAGACAAAGGCCCTACAGGACTTATTAGTTCCACAGGGCCTGTAAAACAGAGCTGTTCCACCAGGCCTTTGGCTGAGGCGGCAGATGTCCACTTATATCGGCCTCCCCTGCTCCACCCCACTCCTCTCATCTGTATGGAGATATATAACCAATGGTGTTAATGCTCATTTAACCCGTTTCCTGATCTATCTGGGCATACACACGGGCCCACCCGGGAACTCTGTCGATTGATCACCATTATAAGAGTTATGCTGTGAGATTTTAAATCAGCTACTATAATGTATTTTAATTGTTTTTATCTGGTTGTAATCCACCCTGATCCTGCTTGCAGGGGAGGGTGGGATACAAGTGCAACAAAACAAATAAATAAAACAAATAAACATTGGCATGTCATCTATACAACTAACCCCTCCCCTTTGCTGTTCAACTTCTTGTGGATATAGGTTTCACAGTAACATATTACTGTGTAGAACTATTTTTTTCTCACTTTATAGTAAAAGTTACCTTGTGGCTAGAGACTTTTGCAACTTCTTTCGTGCCTGCATTTTATCCTGAGTCACGATGTAATCAGTCCTCTCACCAGTCTAATTATCTTAATTATTCTCTGATTGGCTAGCATTTTCCGATCAGAGAAAAAGAACTGTGCAACGTTTGTCCATTTCACTGTAACCTACTGTTCATTAAGTGTCTAGGTGCTCATTGTAACATCATTGCTTTCTGTAACAGCCCCAATTACATGCGCATAGCAAGAACACATTGTGCGTTTATACCAAGAAGATATTAAGGAAAGTGCAAGCTCCAGGGATGCCCTAAAAAACCAGGACAATATTTTGGTCTCTTTAGCAACCAACTGTCATCTAAACTAGATGCTGTTTACCAAGTGATGCTCCCTGATTTACATGAATGTGGTTTATACAGGAGCAGCATATTAACTGCAGCCACAATGTCTTCTTTGTTGAGTGCATGAGCTAACTCAGTAGCAGATGCTTTTTGATTTTAATATAGCTGGTTATTGCCTTCTGGAATTTCTTTATGCAGTTCCCATGCACACATATGAATTGTCTTGTCATGCAGTATTTTCCAAGATGATGCAAAAGCTGTTTTGGCAGTTGTTTGCTTGATGGCCTGCTATGTGTTGGAGGGTGCTTCCTTGGGTTGGGGGGATGACTGCAGTGTGAAAGCAGCCTTGTAGCATATTTATACTGTGTATTTATTTCAGGGTCGTCATCTCCTGCTCGCCCTGCAACCCCACTGGCAGCCAGCAGCAGCACCACTCCCCCACCTCCTCCACCTAGACCCCCATCTCGTCCAAAATTGCCTCCAGGAAAGCCCGGAGTTGGTGATGTGGTATGTGGTGCTTTCTTCATCATGAAACTGAAACAGTATCTTTTCAGTTCTAACGCAATACTGATAAACAGACATGAACAAATAAATTCATAACAAGGTAATGAGTTAACCAGATCCTTACCTTGTTTCCCTGTTACTTGGACCTGTTCACAGAATACACTCTAAAAAATTATTAGCAGATTTTGTATAAACTGTCAAGAATTTAATGCTTGAAGGCACAAGTTAGTTTGGGGGGACTTGATAAGATATGATTTATAATGTCAGAAAACAGTTCTGATACAAAACACATGTGTAAGGATGCAAATGTGTTTGAATGAGCACATCTGGAGCAGTGGTCCAACTAAGAGTGCCATGAGTCCTGTCACTGTATTTTCTGGTGCTCATGTGTTGCATCACACTGGTATAAAATGCAAAGGAACATGGAACAGAAAAAAGGGAAGTTAGGGTCATCCCCTAACAGCTGACTAGTAAAGCACCATGCTTGTCTTGGACAGGCATTTCTGTTGTGTGCCCTGAGCTTGCCCATAGAGCTTGGCAAGCTGTCCTTTGTTTTGTTTGTTTAGTGTATTTTTACCTCACCCTTCTTCAAGGAGCTCAAGGCAGCATTCCTCCTCCATTTTATCCTACTAACAACCCCATGAGATAGGTCAGACTGAGAGAACGAATGGCCCAAAGTGACCTTGTACATTTCATGGAAAGTGGGGCTATGAACCTGTGTCCTAACACAGTGCTCTAACCACTATATAGCATATTGACCTAGAACAAACCCTCATCTTCCTTTGGAGACTGAACTGAAATAGTATTTCTTCCTCAAAGCAAAGTACTGGTCTTGGCTGTGCTCTGCCACTTCATTCTAGGAGATGTTTCAAAAAGGCTGGACAGACATTGTCTTTGCATATGCTAAGTGTGCCAATTCATCTGTCAAAGGAGGATGTTTGGCTTCAAATCCCCCACTGTTTTGTGGCCGGGGGGGTGGGGGGGCTGAACAAAGTTGGGAGATGCCTGACCAAATGTCTGATCTTGAAGCATTCTAAACCATTTGTCATATCAGGCATGCTTAAAAGCAGTGCAGCCTTTATTAATCCAAAATAGTCACAGGAGAGTGGCATATACCAGTTGTGACTTCCAACCACATGTGACAGTCTTATCTCACAATCTGTGACAGTCTAGATGATATTTTATTAATTTTTCATTCTCAAATGCTTTCTGTGTAGTTTTTTTGAAAAGTGTAACCTTTGCAGCACCACTGTATTGTAAAATAGTTTTCAGATTTTCTTTGAAAAATCTGAAAAGAAATCCACCAGTATGGATTCTCATGGTGAAACAAACTCATCTATCTTTTCATGGACAAACTGACATGCCTTTTGTACTTTTTCATTGCAAATTAAATATTTCAGTATTTCAGCTTTAGTCGCTTTCTCCATTTGGTCCCATCTTGCAGACTTTTTCTCAGCAAGGCTTTCTCAGCTTTGCTAAATATATTGGTTACCCACATTAAATAGTGTAGTGAAACATGCAGTCATCCTACAGAGGAACCTTGTAGTCGGTGAACAGCAGCTGAAAAATCATTGGGTCTGTAGTTCTTCTTAATATCTATGGATTAATTCTGGGTGTGCCAAGAGCCTAGGAGGATGGCATTATATCATTAGGAATATATCTGAGTTCATATTCAGGAGAAATTATAACAGTTACATTTTTATTCTTGTGTTGTGTGTTTTTCTGCAGTCCAGACCTTTTAGCCCACCGATTCACTCTTCCAGTCCTCCTCCAATAGCACCTTTAGCTCGTGCTGAAAGCACCTCTTCCATTTCGTCCACCAACTCCTTGAGTGCAGCCACTACTCCCACAATTGGTAAAAAAAAGCTTTTGTCTTTTGAAACACAGTTTTTGTGAGCTGAGTAGCTTATTTTTATTTCTGAAACCCTTTATTTGGTTATGTTTTTGTTGTTTTCCGTTATCATGTTCATGGTATGTTAAAGCACTTTTTAAATATGAAAGTAAATTGCAATTTTGATGAACTGTAGTCTGACTCTGTGATATCTATCTATCTAAAATGGCCAGGATCTAAGGGACCGACCCCCCCCAACACACACACACACATGTTCTGCATAGCTACCTATTTTTTTCCTAAGCTACCCACACAGGAAGAGTCCCTCAATTTTTGTTTTACATTTCAGTGTTATCAAAAGGCATTTTTGATGGAATGCAAGAACTTTTCAAAGGGGAAATCAGGGCAGGAGAAGGAACAAAACTTGTGTGCTGGCAGATCTTCTACATGGAAAATTCCTGTCTTGTTTCCAAAACCCAAGTTGCTTTTTATTTTGGGGAAGGTTTGCAATAGTTTGGGTATTCAGTGGGACTTCTCTGGAAAGTTGCACAGAAAACAGTGCACGCCTGGAATAGTTATGTGTATTCTTTTGGATGCTAGCCGGCATAGTTCTAAGCCTATCATTCCAACAGCTATACAGCAAAATTTAAAACCATGAATATTTAGTAATTAATACAGCATGTTGCTAAATTAGTTAAATCTAATTTCTAGTTAAACTCAGGGCTATTTTTGGGCAGGAACACACAGGAACGAAGTTCTGGCTGGCTTCAGAGTTGGCCACACCCACTACAGTCAAAACCTCTGTGTGCGTGAGGGCGCCTGGGCAAGCCAAGGGAAGGCAGTTTAAACTGCCTTCCTTTCCCTTCAAGGGGGGCTTGCCTGGGCTCCCCGCAGCTGCGGGGCACCCGGGCAAGCCAAGAGAAGAAATGGGGGGTGGCCTAATATGCTAATGAGCTGCACTGTCAGGCATGTGGCCTAATGTGCTAATGAGTTTCTGCTGTTGGGTGTTGAGTTCCTGCTGGAACTCAGTTAAACTAAATCTAGTTAAACTAGAAAACTAGAAAAAGCAATGAAAAGGAAATACATTTCCTTCATAAAGAAAGATAGGAAAGGATGGCAGGAACTGAAATTGCACTGAAAGATTGCTTATTGCCAAGTGAGGCTATAAACCAATTATATTTGCTGCTTGGACAGGAGAGAGTGAATGTTTTCCAAAATTTTAGAAATATTTCAGAAAGTTCCCGACATTAAGATTTTTTTGTATTTGAAATTTGGAAGGTTGTACTAAAAAGTAAAGTAGAGGTTAGGTTAGCTAAATATTCTGTTGCTGACCGCATGGGATGCCTTTGATTTTTTTTCATTCTTTGGTCTTCTCTGTTCTTCCTGTTCTCCACTTTGCTCAGACCAACAAATATTTGGGGTCTTTCTGCCGTTTTTGATTACATTTTCGGGCCTTGATTTCTCTGTCTACTTTTAAATCATCCTCTTTTTTTCTGATATGGCTGTTTCATGCTGCAGATTCGAGGTTTTCCTTTATGACCTGGCTATCCTTTCATCAATGCTTCCGCTCTTCTACAGATAATTTCTTGTCTTCTTCAGTTCTCATTGTATGCTACATTGTTGAGGTTTTTAAATTGTGTTTCCGTATTTCCCTGTCTTTGGACCCGTTTTGCTATTAGTCTAAACTTTGTTTTGTGAGTGTTTACACCTTATAGCTCAGCTTTCTCTTGACCAAATTGTCCACATGACTGTCCTCAATGAGTGGCAACCAGCTGGATGTTGCTTTCAAGGAAGTCAAAGTTGACAATCTGGAAAACCAAAATGAACTAAAGTGTATGTGTGTGTGTGTTGTCTTTATTTTTGTGATAGACATGAACATAGTATTTCCCACATTTATGGGAAACCATTGGCTTTGATTCTGAACACAATCATATCATTAGTACAAAGTTTGTGTCCAGTGACACCTTTAAGACCAACAAATTTTAATTCTGGGTATAAGCTTTCGTGTGCATAAACACTTCAGTTCATTTTTAGGTAATTGTTTATTAGAAGTTGATTCTCACAACTGGAGCATATATTCAAACCCTCAGTTGTAAAGTGTTAGAAGACTGAATGTGGTTTGAAGTGCTTGAATTTTTAGTTTGTCCTTCTGAAAAACCTAAGATCACATTTGTTTCTCTTTGCATATTGTATGTCAAGTGGATGGTGTGGAGGGGAAAGACTGCTTGAGTCAATTTTCTAACTTTGTGTTTCTCTCTTCATATATCTATATGCTTTACTCCTTCTTGCTGTTGGTCAATAAAATGACCATAGTGATGGCAATGCATGTCAGTCAGTGGACTGACTGGCACTGAATCATAGAATGTTAGAGTTGGAAGGGACCTTGCAGGTCATCTAGTCCAACCCCCTGCACTCTGCAGGAGCATATACAAGTATATATGTTTCATGGGCTGGTGCAACTTGTTTGAAACTTCATCCGTGTAGCTTTTAATGAGATATGTTGTTGTTGAGTAATGTGCTGGTATCAGTGATTATATATAAGGACAAGTTTGCAAAGAGGTTGACTAAATTGATTAGTGAAAGGTTTTGCCTATTAGTTGGAATATTTAACTCAGGTTTTGTGTATAACAGGTGATCAAAACATGATCATTTCCCATTAAAATTACAATTTCCTTATGTATATAAGTACAACCATGATTTCTTCTGCTTGTGAGAGAGAGAGAGAGAGCGCACACACACTCGGTTTTCACTACCAGTATTTTCTGTTAGTGAATGTAAAATTGTTCTCTAGTGTTTCATTTTTTCAGGGTAAAATTTCAGAAACATGCAAAATAAAATTTTCTAAATAAATGTGATGGCTTTCTAAATAAATTGCTGTGAAACATAATAACCATTGCTGGTTTCTGCTTATTTGGGAAGGTAAACATTGTTTAAGAATCAAGATTCTTGGCATATTATGCAACATGATTTCACAAATTTGGCTACCCTTCAAATTGATGTGTAGAAAGAGATGCTGTGACTACAAAAATATTGCAATTATTTATTTTATAATTAATTAAAATATTTATAATGCTTATTTAGCCAACTTCTGCCAAGGCAGCTGCCAGTATCTTATAACTTTTAAATAAAATAGAATGCTAAAAATTACAATTAACTTATAAATTGTACAGCACAAATAAGGGACCCACAAGGATTTGCAGGGGGCATCTTATTTAGCCCTCCCCTGCTATTTCCTCTTTTCCCTTCCTTAAAATCCTCCATAGCCTCTTCTAGTTCTTTCCTTCCCATCCACTAGCCAACCTACTTTTATCAGCCCCCCTATCTTCAGCTGTCTCTCCTTCCCTCTCCTTTGCATCCTCTACTCGGGAAAACTATGACCCAGTTGCACAGTGGGTAACCTGCAAGAACTTGCAGGTCACACCTCACTTTCCCCCGTATTCCCTTCCCCACACTATTACTTCTTCTCCTCCTGCTGGAAACCCTCATTGTTGTCACCCTTCCTGGCTTCTTTCTCCCCACCCCACCCGCCAACCTACTTTTTATATGCTTCCCCCATCTTTATCTATATTGATAATTATTTCCTTCATTTATATCCCACCTTTCTTCACAATGGGGACCCAAAGCAGCTTACATCTTTCTCCTCTCCTCCATTTTATCCTCACAACCACCCAGTGAGGAAGGTTAAGCTGAGAATGTGTGACTGGCCTAAAGTCACTCACTGAAATTCCATGGCAGGTTGGGTTTTGAACCTAGGTCTCCCAGATCCTGTTCTGAAATTATAACCACTACACCACGCTGGCTTTCATAGGATGGCTGTTGTTGAACAGTAGTAAGCAGCCAGGTGAATCATGGAAGTCTCAGGGCACCAAATTGCTCAGTGGTTGCTGCTAGGCCTGGCCCCTCAAAGGCCAAAACAGTCCTGGAAAGGGTCCTCCCCCTCTCACTGCCTTTTACTAACAGAAACCAAGACTTGAAGGCTGACAGTACTGTTCTGGTTGCCTAGTAACAGCCACTGAGAGCATTTGTTTCTTTGTTTTTATAATTTGGGGGATTTTAACCTCCCAGACACTGATTGATTGATTGATGGATGGATGGATTAGATTTTGGATTTTTCTACAAAACTGGGGCTTTTCTCAGTTTTGTAGGATGATCTGTCTTATTTCTTCTCAGCTCCAGTCTCTGAATTGAAGTATCTCAACCATGTTGAGAATTAGGTCTATTGATCATTAAAATATCAATTTCAACAATGTCAGAAAAAAGCTGCCTGAAAAGGTATACTTTATATTTTTTCCTTATGAACACTGGCCAGTCTTTCTCAGAACCATAGTCCTGGGTCTTCCTTGTAACAATTTTATTCCAAAGGGTTCCCATTTGAATAGATAGTACCTGGGAGGAATAGATACATCCTCCTTATTTAATGCTAGTAAGTAACTTTAGTTATTGCAATCATAGATCAAATGAGATTGACACTAGAGTCAAAGCCACATAATAGTCTGATTTCAATAGTATAGTCATAATTAATAAGACTTAACCAGCTGCTTCCTTGTTAAACATGCCGAGATGTAAAATTTGGCCATCCTAAAGGTGGTGTCATTAGAATAATCTGAGTGGAGGAGGGAAACATCAAATCCATCAGGTCTGCCTGGAAAATTTGGTAAGATTGTAGTTATGTTTAAAGACCAAATGTCACTATACGGCTGACAATACAGTAACATATGGTCAACTGTTTGCCCTGTTCATTTGGCAGGGACAAACATGTTAAGAGTAAAGGATGGGTGGGTACCTTCGAACAGAGTTCATGGTAAAGTATTAAAGTGGGCCAAGGTGAAGGCTCTTTGGCCAAGAGTGGACAAGTTGGCAATGGATAAATGGCTTCATCCAGCTGCTCTGCTTATTTAATCCTTAGAATGATTCCTACCTCTTCTGTATGACTTCTTCTGTACAGAGATGTAAACTGCCATCTTAGACCTGCCAAATATCATAGTCTCCTTTACTTTCTTGAGTTCAAACAAACATACCTCTCTCTTCCTTCAGCTTTTAAGTGATGGAGCTAGATGCCCCAATGGATAGTAGACAAGTAAGTTCTTGGAACTGCAGCCCTTTAAAAGAGTCATGGTGAACCAAAAGCCTTATCTAAAGTAAATGTTAAATTGTAAGGTAGTGCAGCATTCTCTGAAGAAAGGAACTCCACAGAATGCCACTGTTTTTAAAGGCTCATCCAAGAACTTGATTCATAAACAAGACAGGGAACATGACTCAGTATTCATGCATATGTTAAGGCTGCTCTGTATATTGGAAATGTTTATATGTTTGTAAAGATGCCTGTCCTGTGTGCTAAAATCACCAAAGCTACAGTAGCTTTTTTCTGTGTTGTCTTTCGAGATTTTATTGAGCATATGGTGGGATAAAGGAACTGCAGAAATTCAGAACTAAAATGGTTAATAAGGAGTTACTCATTTGTACTTTATTGTTTCGGCTACATTTATTTGTTTATTTGTTAATTGCAACCAGCATGAGCATTGTTTATGCTGATAATATTAAGGTCAAGAATTGGGGGCTAAATATATTGAACATGCACTCAATCAACCTACACAATCTCTTAACTTTTTAATACGTGGGTGTTCAGTTTGTGTATTCATTCCTAGAAACTTGAGCTGATGTAGGATATGTTTCTAGATATGGCCATGAGTATGTTTACTCTCACGTACAAAGGAAATTATTTCTAGAGTGTTTTCTTGAATACATTAAGCACAGGCACATTTTGATAATATTGGGGCCAACCTGTTTGTCCTTTGTTATTGTTGATTGTTCATTGTGGTAAAGGGGAAAATCTCATTAAATGTTCAAATTCTGTATTCTCTGCAACATTTTCTCTGAGTAGGGACAGAGGCAAGACCATGTTCCCAAAAAGTATCTTCATTTTAACAACCTCCTTTCAGTTTTCCCCTGTCATAAAGATAACTTTTAGTACTTTTTTAAGGATATTTTAGTTTCTGGAACAGAATAACTGGGACTGAGTAGTTCTGTTTTCAAGGAATAGATAACAGTGATTTGAAGGTTCAGTTGGCACCATAAAAGCTCACATAACCAGCTAGTATGTTTGATACATGTGTGCATCCTACTAAAAATTATGCAGCAAGAGGTGATGAATGTACTTAAAGAGCCCCCAGGGTCTAATTCAACACTGAGTTCATTGGGCCACTACTGAATTACTCAGATGTACAAAGGCTTTGTTCAGAACCATAGCTGTATTTATTTGTTTGTTTATTTGCTGCTTCTCCATGTATCACACTTGAAGAGGCTTAAAGTAAAACAATCAATTTTTTTTTTTAAAAAAAAAAATCAACTAGGAAGTATATGCTAGGAACTGTAATGCCCAGACCTTTGTATTTTTGTTTTGTTTATTACAGAGCATATTTGGTGAGAATTACTTTTGACTGTATTAAGACTTGGACTAAGCAGGGTCACAAATAAGGAGGCCATTGGAGAGAAACTTTTTTTTTTTTTTTACCATCAGGTGGCAGCTGACTTATGGCAGCCCTGTGGAGTTTTCAAGGCAAGAGACATTCAGAGATAGTTTGCCATTGCCTGTCTCAATGATGTGACCCTGGTATTCTTTGGTGGTCTCCCATCCAAATACTACCTAGAGCTGACCCTGCAGCTTCCAAGATCTGATGAGGTTGGACCAGCCTTTAGCATTAGCTTAAGTAAAGCAAACTGGAAAATGCTTCCCAATTGTAAGATCCATTGGACAATGGAAGGTGTTTCTGGGAAAATTTGGACAATCTTATTTTCTGGGGTTTTTTAAGCTGAGTGAATCATCATGTGTTTCTTAGTTTAGGGAGCATTTGCAGTTGCAGTGGGCTAGAGTAGATGGGGCCCTTTTCAGTTCTGTGATTCTGAGATGGAAAGTAGTAACTACTCATGAGAACTTCTAGCTGAGGAGTCACAATAGGTAACTCTTAACCAGCACCCATCAGTCTACAGTGCCCTCCTGTGTGTTACTGCTCTTGCTGCAAAAAACTATCCCATATATGAAGAGTTTGCACTTGGGAATATAACACGGAATTATTTCATTTATTTGTCTGTCCCTTTTTGTATTTGATTATAGGTTGGTGTAGTGATTGTTGCATACAATTTTGATAATAAAAAACCATGTGTCCACCATTCTATGTCTATGATCTTTATTTTTTCATAATGTTTGTGTTTTGGTTAATAAGCAAGCTATTTAATTTTCATTTGGAATTTGTGTTTTCATTGTTTTTCTTTTGCATTTCTTTTGCTCATGGGTTTCAGAAGATGATGCTTATGTTGACAAACTGCCCACCTTTGAAAGGCACTGTGAAACTCCTGCAGGTACTGTACTAGCAGAGTGGTTTCAAGAAATCTGGATTACAAATCCAAGTCATTATCATCTGAATGCCTCCTTCACTACCACCCTCACCACCATGAGTGTCAAGTGCATACAAATACATACTTATATCCAACAGTGGAACTCAAGCTACACACAAAACGCAGCCTAATACATGACAATTTTCCAGTGACCAGAATTTGGGAGAGGTGACATACTATTGTCGTGTGATCCATCTATATGTAAGGAATACCTTTATTACTCTTCACCAAATATTTACTTTTTATACATACCCTGCTCTTCCTCCTAAGTACTCAGAGTGATTTACATATAGTTCCCAAGCATTCTCTAGCCAGTCAATTTAAAAGTCCAAACTTAGTTTCAGAAGAAGGACTGCATCATGTGCTTTCAGTTATTTGTTTGTACTTCCTGGACTTTAAGTGGTGTGAGTCAAAGTAACTGGTAATTTTTGGCTACAGCAGGCAAAAATATAGCTTTAAATATTTTTTTGAGCTGGAACCTTTAACCTCTGAAGAATGTTCAATAAGATTGTGCTTTTAATTAACGTTCAAAATATTACCCAGTAACTTGATAATCTCAATTCAGCATCAGTAGAATATCAGAGACAGATGTTTACCCATGTAGGAAGCCCATCCATGTTGAATATCCATAAAAACATAATGCCATAATAGCAGCGCATGTCTGTCTCAAGAAGAATGCATGTAAGCTACAGAATCATTACCAGGTTTTCCCTTTCAGTTTTCCCCCCTTCAAGACAAGATAAGAGTTTGATGTTGCATTGTCAGATGAGTCCATGCACGGTTGTGCCTCCCAAGATTACAACAGCGTATTTTGAATGTAGTTGGGATGTGATCCTCAGTGGAAAATTATACCCAAAGCTAGCGTAGCTAAAATACCTATTTTGCTGCAACAGGAAACTTCTCCAATCCTCCTTCCTAACCAGACAGTTATCCAGTGGGCAAAAATTCTCTTCCATCTAGGATTCCATAGCTTGCTTTTTTGCTCTTGGTTTCCCAAAGCAAAACAAAAATATTGTTTTCAATTCCCTTCCACTGCTCCTTGCACGTTAATGGCTTGCAGCGTCTCTTCTTCCCCTGTAGTGAGATTAATTACCTGCTTCTGTGACTCACACTTATGTCCTTCTCTCTCCCTCTCCTTAACCTTTCCCATCCCGCTTCAACTCCTGGCCATACAGAGAATGAACAGCCTTCCCTCGTCTGGTTTGACAGAGGAAAGTTTTATTTGACTTTTGAAGGTAAGTAGTACATAGCATACTGGGTTGGACCTTTAAAACTCCCCTTTGCTCTTATTATTTAATAGAAGCCCTTTGGTTTCCTTTTTAAAAGAGAGAAACCCATTCTGTCTTTTTGTATAGAAATGCTATGGCTACTTAGGGAACATGACAAGTTCAACCATTTTAATTTGGTGTGTAAAATTGTGTCCCTTCAATTGTTATATTTTACCTTCAGGAGGACAAGTGGGGGAATCACGAAATAGTGGTAGTCACTTTTTCCCTTCTTCAAGTCTTACTGATTACCAAAGAACTTGACTCTGTCAACCAGGGCTGCTTTATATACATTTTGCAAACCATTTTTACACTTAAAAGTAGCTATACAATATACAAGTAGGTAGCGTTGTCCTATAGTGCCTTTTGTAGAGTCTTCTCTTCCCTTAACAAATGGCATATTTCTGAGAAATATAACCAGTACATTTTGTATTCCAAAATTCTAGTTCAGTGCTTTGGCCATAGTTTACTATATTAACACCATCAGCATCTTAAAAACAACAACGCCAAACTGATAAATACAGTATTAAAGCCTACATGCTGGCCAGTTATAAAAGTAAAATGCGCCGCGGTGGCTCAGAGGTTAAGACGCTGAGCTGCAGACTGGAAGGTCTGTAGGTTGGCAGTTCGAGACCCTAGTGCTGCGTGACGGAGTGAGCGCCTGTTTCTGGCCCCAGCTCCTGCCAACCTAGCAGTTCAAAAGCAAGAAATTGCAAGTAGATAAATAGATACTGCTTCAGTGGAAAGGTAACAATGTTCCGTGCACCTCGGCATTTAGTCATGCTGGCCACATGACCATGGAAATGTCTTTGGACAATGCTGGCTCTTCGGCTTGGAAACGGAGGTGAGCACCGCCCCTTAGAGTCGGATTCGACTGGCTTTCAAGCAAGGGAAACCTTTACCTTTATAAAAGTAAAGTATTCCTCTAGTACTTTAGTGTTGCCCAGTTAACCTGTTCTCTTTAATGTGTATGTAGCCTTTTCACTACTACTATGACGATGATGACTACTACAGTGATTTAAAGATTGCCTATAATCATTTGATTTTTTTCAACCTTTTTGTCCTACTGTAAATAACTCTAGAGCAGAGACTTTGGAACCAGTTAAAATTATTTTTGGCATATCAGGAATATTTTTGTCTTGTGAGTGGAAAAATTAAAAACACAAATAAGACTAATCTAATTGGTTATTTTTTAGAAAAACTCTTCTCTCTTAAATATTTATGGACCACATTGCTGAAGATACTGTGCTAGTACAGTTCACATTCTGTGATAAGTGATTATGTGATTTTGTACAGAATCTTAAGGTGCCTTTTGCTAGTCTGTTTTTACAGGGAAATGTCATAATGAAGAGAAAAATTAATGTAATTCTCACTTGCTTTTTTCATTTATAATTGTATTAACATATGGTGAAACAGAGGCATGGGTGGGTATAACGCAGATGAAATACACTTAATTTTCTATGGATACCTTTTAAATATTATTATCTTAAAGTTAGAGTGTGTGGTAAATTTCTAAAAAAAACAAGTAAGCAATGTAGCATTACTAGGGTTTGGGTTTTTTTTTTGTCTTATGGTGAAATTTTGCTGTCATAAATTGTAAGTAATACAGGCCTGGTGAAAGTTACCAAGACAATTATGATGGAACCTGAAGAGGAACAGTTGTCTTTCTCTCATAGACTAGCAACAGCAAATAAAAACAGTGGCTGGAAGGAAAAATGCAACCAGTCTCTACCTAAGCTCACCAGGTACTAATATACCATTGTACTTTGCAGGTACTAACATGGTTTATTCAATCTTCAAAGGAAGACAATAGCTTGTATATGTCAAACATACTTAATTTAAAAAGACCCAATGAGAAGAAACTACTGCTATAACTATAAAAGTTGCTGCCTATCTGTGATCAGTGGGAAACGTCCTTAGTATTTTTTTTAAATGGCAACAGTTCACAAATTGCTTTTGCAGAAAAACAGCTATGAGAAGAACAACTTTAATCACTGTAGGGGGGATTCTTCCAGCCACTAGCCTCTCAGTCTCTGACACTTGTTCCACCTTTTAAAAAGCAAATGTGCCCAGTGAGTTGTCAGCCTGGATTAACAAATAGCCTGCAGCATCTAGTATTAATGGTATTCAGTTTAGGGCACTGTGGTCTCTGAATCTTTGTATTATTAGATAATTGTATGCTTTTTGATGAGAATTGTTTCTGGTCATAACCTACTAGATTCCTTGTTATGGGACCTTTTTCTAGTTATCTGCCTGCCCTCACTCAGCTCTTCCTTCCATAGGGCCTATGTGACCTGGTAATTCCAGCCAAATCAACAACCATACATTTCTCTCAGAATCTGGGCTGTGGACATTTTGTTACTGTATTCCCTGAGTGGATGCAATGTATCCAGACTAGGGCTGCAAGATCCCCTGCTACAGCAGAAAGCTGCCCGTGTGGCAGCCCAGGTTTCCCACAGCTGCTCAGTGTCAGTGTCACATCAATACTGCAATGTTACTTCCAGTCCAAACTGTGACGTGATGTCATCGTGTTGGCACGATGCTCTAGGACTTCCTTGAAACTCTGTGGTAAAGCCATTACGGTTGCCAGGCCCAACCTGGAAACTTGGGGGAAGCAGGGTTGTTAGGGGGGAGGCACAGTGGATGTCATGCCTCACTTGGAATTGCCCAAAATTTTATTGTAAAACCATAGAGTCTTGGCCAATTCCAACAGAGGCATAACATCACATCATCAGCCAATGGCCATTTATTTTATTTCTCTCCCACCCCTGCTTCAAGCGGCAGTGGGAAACACTAACTGGGGGCAGGGATGCCCCACCCCCACCAAGGGGCTCGCAACTCTAAAAGCCATAAACTTGGGAGGAATCCTAGAGCCTTGCCCTGATGCAATGATGTAACTTCTGGGTATATGCCAGAAGTGACATGGTGCTGGCGCAATGCCTGTTTGTATATCTCCACTCCCCTAAAGCTCCTGCTAGTTGCCAGCACTGGACTGACAACCCTAATCCCTTTTCTCCATACCCAAATGTAAGAGTCTTTGGTGTGGGGGCAGCTACAGGAAGGAAAGAAGAAAAGATGCTCCATTGTTATACTCTCTCCGCTACCCAGGAAATTCCTTCTGAAGTCATAGCTAGCTCGAGCAGAGCTGTTTTTTTAAGAGTGGCTTAGTCCTATAACTGTGGGTGAAGGCTTCCCAGCAATCTGACAACTCCCATCTGGATGGGAACAGCCACAACAGATGGGAGATTGATAGACTGGAGGTTGGTAAAGAAGAATTCAGGCTTGGTCTAGACATGCAGCAGAAGGAAGGGATGGAATTCTGTGGTTACACCAAGGTCATTTAAAGGGGGAGACTGATGCCTTTGTGACCTCTTGGTTTGCCATTGCTGTAAATTGTATCATTTCCAAATATTTTATTACAGAGACTGCCACTTTCCTTACATTTAGATATACACTCATTAGAAGTGCATGAAATAGAAGCAATCTCCCTTATAAATAAAAGCCGAATGGTGGTGGCACTTCTCTAGAACATTCCACACGCTTCAAAATCAGTTCGCTCTCTGATCTGTCATTCAGAGGGTCTCCCTATCCACTGGCTGCTTTGCCTGAGTCCTGCCTCCAACATTCTAAACATTTTGCTGTTCCTCTCCCCCCCCATAGCCAATCAGAACACAGAGGTTATTTGCATATGCAGCCTCATTGGCCTTTGCCTTGGAACACAGAGGTCGTTTGCATATGCGACTTGATTGGCTTTTGCCTCTAACATTCTAAACAGTTTTCTGTTCTAATGTAAAATGTGTCCAATCTCCAGGTGAGGGCTGGAGATCCCTCAGAATTACAACTGCTTTCCAGATGGCAGAGATCAGTTCCCCTGGAGAAAATGGTGGGCTCTGTATCCTTATATGCTGCTGAGGTGGCCCCCGTATGACAGCCAATGTGACGTAGCAGTCAGGGCTTCAGAGCATGGGAGCAGCTGCAGGTGTGTGGGGGGTGGAAAGCTGAAGAGTGAGGGGAAAATAAAGGTAGGTTGATGATTGGCTGGGAAGAAGATAGGGTTGCCAACTCCAGGTGGGAACTTCCTGGAGATGTGAGGGATGGAGCCTGGAGAGGGTGAGGTTTCAGGAGGCGTGGGACCTCAGACAGGTACAAAGCCATAGACTCCACCCTCCAAACCAACTATTCCCTTCTGGGGAACCATCGTTGCCAATCTCCAGGTGAGGGCTGGAGATCACTCAAAATTACAACTGTTCTTTAGGTAGCAGAGATCAATTCCTCTGGAGAAAATGGTGGACTCAGTGTCATTATACCCTGCTGAGGTCACCACAGCAAATTGACACTGAGTGTCCAAGGCCGGGGCACCCACCCAGAGCCTCTTTCTAGAGGTCGTTGTATTTATTTCCACAACAGGCCTTTTTCCTAGTAAGTCAATAATCCTTTAGTGTGTTGCAGAATTGTGAACATGCCATGATGAAATATACAATTAATAGAATATTACATATACATTTGTTCAATACATTTTTAACATTATCATTAATAGAAGATGCTGTTTAATGGGTCTCTGACCGTAATAAAAATGAATGAATGAATGAATCATTAATAGAAGAAAAATTCACAGTTGTAACCTATCACCATGTGGTATTGCTACCTTACAAATAGTCTTAAAGAAGTAACTCTTATAAATAACATGATAGATCTATATTTGTATTAAGTCCATGGGGCATACACGTTTTTAACTGGTAAATCCAAGCCACCTCTTGACGAAATAAAGAAATAATGATGAAATATACAGGCATAGCGAAAGAGGGAATGAGTGCCTAAAGTTCATTAAAGAACACTGATGTCGTTAATTGTTTTGATGAGAAGGGATATGTGTTGCCTACAAAATATATTAATCATTTCATTATATGAGCTGAATTTTCAGAACTGGAATAAGCCAGAGTGATACAATGTTAGAGTAGATAAATACTGAC